ACCCTGTTGAAAGACTAGAAGGAATTTATGACTGTAATCATCATTGTAAGGAATATAATGTGATGTTTTCATATGGCCAATTAAATAGCTTGAAAGTGGTAATTAATCCCAAACAATTCGGGAATTATATGTAATCGTTAACGACATGATTGGCTAAAGCACTTAATCTTTTTCAGTAATTGTAACAAGATTTAAAATTCACGTTAACTGTCACGTGTAACAAAACACTTTGTGTAATGTTAATTACTGTAAAACCTTAAACACAGCACATTAATAGCAAAAATTGTGAAAGATAGTGTGCAACTTAATTTATTTCATATCCAAATTAATTCTGTGTTTCACTAATACTCGTTTAAGTAAAAAAAAAATAAAAATGAATAAATAAGTAATTAATATGTACTCGGGTTATCTGATATCTTGTGAGATTCAACCAAATATTTAAATAGCACATTATCTATTGGTGCATTTACAATAATTTCTCCTTAAGCCATTTGTCTATTTGATGTACCTTCAGTTCCTATAACATCTCAACGTATTTTAGGTGAAACTTGATGTTTCCTGTGACGTTTGCAATAAGATCACTTGAGCATCCCTTAAGATGCGAGCGAGTCAAGTATAAAATACTCTTCTCAATATGTATAGACCAGTATTTAATAACTTTCAATAACATCTACATAAAAATTTATTATGACAACGGCACCTCGTCGCAAGACAACCCGTTTTTTCTCAATACGAAAACAGATACGAGAACAATACGTTCTCAGATACGAGAACAATACGTTCTAAGATACGAAAACAATACGTTCTCAGATACGAAAACAATACGTTCTCATATACGAGAACAATACGTTCTCAAATACGAGAACAATACGTTCTCAGATAACGAGAACAATACGTTCTCATATACGAAAACAATACGTTCTCATATACGAGAACAATACGTTCTCAGATAACGAGAACAATACGTTCTCATATACGAAAACAATACGTTCTCATATACGAGAACAATACGTTCTCAAATACGAGAACAATACGTTCTCAGATAACGAGAACAATACGTTCTCATATACGAAAACAATACGTTCTCATATACGAGAACAATACGTTCTCAAATACGAGAACAATACGTTCTCAGATAACGAAAACAATACGTTCTCAGATACGAAAACAATACGTTTTCATATACGAGAACAATACGTTTTCAGATAACGAGAACAATACGTTCTCAGATACGAAATTGACACACGAGTCTGGTAAAGTAGCCCTACAATTTGTTATATGCCTCATTATTTTTGATAACGTCTTCACGATTGATTGTATTAAAAATGTACTATAGTTGTTCACGCTCAGAAACTAGGATACATAAAATTTTACTAATTTAGATCTTAATTGTATCAATTTGAAAACAGTACTGGAAAGCAGACTGTTCTGTAAGCATATTAAAAAATAAATATATCTACGGCTTCATATTCTTAAATCCAAATTTTCTTTAATTTCTTTCTTATATTTTCTTATGCTGCATTTTATTTCAATTTCTAAGAGTGTAGTTTTTAAAACCTCTAAACTGTTTTGTTTTATCAGTGAATTATTTAGAAACACAAGGAAAACCTCCCATCTTTAATTTTTTCAAGAGTAGAATATTTTGTGAGTTTAAGTGGAACGGATCATAATTTAGTTGATGTCTGGCGCTGCACTGGACGAAATTAAGTGATTTCTGGACAAATGGACCCCTGCTCTACAGTATCTGGTTCCCGGGATGCACCACCCCTGCTACTGCGGCATTTCACAAAGTGACAATTACATTTGCTGCCCTGTTTCCATTGCTTATTGCTTATTCTTTGCAATAAAACAATTTTCGTTCATCTGTATTGTATGGAACTTTGTTTACTGGTCTTTAGACCCTTCTAAAGATCATCAACCCTTGCATCCCATAAACCTTTGCAATTGTTACAATATTACTATAAATTAACCAAAGATGGATTTACAGTATTATGAATTCATTATTTTACGACATTCCATTGTTATTGTGGTTCAAACTCTTAAATTAGGTCTTAGTTTTTTGAGGATAGTTTTGCAATCTTTTTAATGAACAAGTCGCCTTTAAATATTTTCCTTAATGTGTTACACCAGAAATAAAATAATAAAATAAACTGTCTAAAATAAGTAAAAGCCTGTATTTAGGGCACAACCTATGTGAAGTTAGGGTGCGAATTCTTAGAGAAACGATCTCATTAATTAATATGCAAACCTACATTTTGTTGGTGTATATCTTTAATAAAGATAATTTAAGTTTCTTGGCTGATTTTTACAATTCATCGTCTAATTTACTAACATAGTTAGAAAGGTGGAATAAAGAAGCTATTTAATAATTTCAAACCGGAAGATCTACATGAATTATCATAGTTGTAGAAACATCTGTATACAGTCAGAAGAATTTCCTTGGATTTGATAATACAATCAACCGCGTGTATATATTTAATAGTTATATACGGTGTAAAGTAATTTACCAAACCTTCAGCAGTTCTAATCGTATCATTTAGAGCGTTAAATGTTTTGGCAGAATGACATTTTCAAACATCTCAGTCCTGAAAGAATTCTAAATCCACTTGAGTAGCTTCGGTAATGGTTTGTTTACACATTTTATACATTTTACACACGATATGGTTAAGAGAAGCCACGCGCAAGAACATATATTGTCCAACGAACGAGCAGTCAGTTGCTGTTCATATGGTAACTTGGTATTTTCTCGTGATAGCCCTATAGCAATAACAGTAATAAACTTGTACATGCCATATGTAAAACATATTTTCCTTATGTAAAAACCCACAACAAAGCTAACCAACTGTTGCTGATAGATACTATAAAAATATACAGGGTGTCCCACGAAGAGGTTTAAACGTTTGATTTTATATTTTTTGCCCATTTATAGACCGAATATTTTGAAACTTTAAACAATGTATAAAGTATGTTTTAAAAATATTCTGGGAACATTTCAGCTCCCCTCGTAGAAACGAAGTGGTGGCATATGGATTGTTTTTTATTAAATAATTATATTAAACTAGTTTATTTATTATTAACTAGTGATGGATCAAGGTTTGAAGAATTTTAGGCTCTACTTTAAGGTATTTAATTTATTTCCTAATGATAAAGTCTTTTCCTAGGATGTGATAATACAAATATTTTACATAACCAAAAACACTATTTATAATGTGTTTAAAGTATCATTTTTAATATACCACCATTTTGTTTTTAAAAATGGTTAGGGAGGTGAAATTCTCCCATAATATCTTTAAATCTATTAATGATTTGAGATTATTTCATGTAAAAAGTATATGTAATGTTTATTTTGTCTGAATAAATTAATTGAATTGAATTGAATACATATAACGTAGTAATATTGAATCAAACGATTAAACCCCTTCGTGGGACATCCTGTATATAGCTCAATACCGCAGTTTGCAAAGAAGAGTAAACTCAACCATTTAAACCGTTCCGAGTTTCCCCAAGTCATAACCTTACATTTAACTGATAATAGCTGGCACAGAACATCCTACTGTATGATAGTTACAGGAGGTGCGGTGATCGGTGTTCGGGTGATCGTTACGTGATCGGGTGATCGTTTGACCAAGGTGAGGAGAGGAGGGGGAAACTGTCGCAGCATTTCACCTTAAACCCGTCATAAGTCCAACTCCCTAGTTTCAATACACAGGTCTGAACGTCATATGGAAAGTATTCCACGTCGATTGCACAGGAAGACTTATAGACGGCTGGGGGCTGCCAAACGACCAGCCCTGTGTAGTAGACTGTTGCCTTGGTCATCAGAGTAACTTCGTAGTTTCCGTCTGCACTGTGAACATACACTGCAATTTAACTGTGACACCAAATAACATTTAACCCTCTCCGATCAGTTGCTCGTCCCAGCACTTCCAAGGATGATTGAAAAGCCGGTGGTGTGAACAGTTGCAAGTAACATTCTTAACATCCTGGGGAACCTTATTTTCACAAACCAGCATTGTTGAATTGATATTGTCTTGATTTAGGGTATAAATGAATTTTGCCAGTATTTATAAATTTGTGTTTTCCTCTTGTTTACTTAATTTATTTTAGTAAAAGAATACTTGTTTGTGTTTGTTGCATTAGATTAATCGTATTTTTCGTTTATTATAAATTTTAACAGTTGAAAATAATCCGTATAAAATGAAATAATAATGTTTTTTCGTACATAACCTCAAGAAACGCGTTCCCTCGTGATGTTTGTTTTCATACGCTGTTTACGGAAAAGAACATATTAATCGTAGGTCTACATACTTTGTAAACTCTTCAATTTACTGATTTCCAAAATATGTAAACTATGATTAATTTGGTACTAAATACAAGACGTTTTTATAACTTTACTATTATTATTTTAAGTATAAAAGTGTTGTATTATAAAAATAAATACAAAATCTTAGATTAAATAATCGTACAATATTTTCCTTTTATGTTTTATTTAATGATGGCACAACATAACATGTAAATTTACAAAATTATTCGTTCATATGCATAATAAAAACTTTCTTCCCGCTTTAATGTGTAAACACGAAAATTAGATTTCAAAGTTTGTACTTGATACATATTCATACCACCTTGCCTATTCACAGGGTCTACGCATAAAATAACGAAAGCTTGTTGTTTCATTTAAAAATATAATATGTTATTAAATACAGTATATTTTGGATTATTTATAAAAAATATAAATAAAACGTTTTCCTCGTCCTTATAATGTGCTTGGGAAGAGCAAGCTTAGGAAGAAAATCCTTAAAATACAAACTTAACACAATCGTAGAACAAGAAACAAGGGTGGGGAAACTACGATGTCTGTGTCCAAACAAAGAGCTTGTATGTACTCGTTTAAACTCTTTACGCGTACTGCTCTTACTTTAGCTACTTTTACTCGTTTGCTGAGACGGCAACCCTTGTTTTCTCGTTCTACTCGGTCCTCTTTTTCGAGGCCAACTTACCTTGAAACCGTCGTACGTCCAGCTACCAAATTTGAGAACACATGTCTGTTCATCAAATGGAAAATACTCTACGTCAATCTCACAAGACGATTTGTAAATGGCGGGTGGCTTCCATTCCACAAGGCCTTGGTAGTATATTGTCGCCTTGGTAGCAAGGGTTACTTCAAAGTTGCCGTCCGCGCTGTAACATGCGAGTTGTTATTGGGGTGTTGGGAGAGGAATTCAGGGAAGGGATCAAGTCATACTATTTACTATGAACAGAGTATTCCTTGTAACAAAAATTACATACGTGATTTACGGCATAACTTTACACAAGTTAATCACATCGATAAAAATTTGTCAAAATTCTTATAATTTTAATAACGTTCAACCCCAAATATTGTCCAACAGGCGTGGTCTTGTAATCTCATGATGGCTTACATATATATATTTACGTTATTGTTTACATTGTTGAATATATTGTCGTTCTATAGGAAAATTGCTTAAATGATATCTTTAATGTGTTCAAGGCATGCAGAAATTTAAGCGAAGGGATTTTTAATAATTCCTGAGTAATCATGCGTTCTACTGAGAAAAAGGAGAGTTTTTCAGTAAAGTATAATTCCACCGTTAAAACTAACGCTTTATACATGATTCAATCAGAATTTTACGTTACAGCATATTACTTTGTTGATACATGCCAATTAAGGTTGAACTAATAAAGGAAAATTACTACACAATGACGTCCATCTACATGATAAGCTATAAAGTTGAGTTAGTAACTCATGGTTTAAACGAAGGCTGAATCTACCAAAAGATTTCCCATCTAAAAGAAACAGTTATTCATTCCCTAAAATATATAATTACACCTAGCTAGTTGTTCTAGAAAAACCAACGCTGTTCTAAGTACATCAACCTGGTACTTGACCTTCTGTACTTAACAGGGGAGTGTTAACAATAGGCGCACCAATAGTGTTGATGATACAGCTTAAATGGCAAAGAGAACATCACCTTGTTCACAACATCTTGTGTTATTTATATTGTTCCCTAATTCCTACACCTTTCCTCCAACTCCCAGTGCTAAGTCATATTTCTTCTTCTGAGAAGTCCGAAGAGAATGGTCTAGAAGAACCCATGTGAGCTGTCACCAATAGGTGTTACGATCACCTTCTGAGACCAAACTTGAAAAAGCACGAATAAGACAATTTAGAAAAATGTTAAGTGCTCAAGAATTTTATCTTGCAGGGCTTCTTATCAACTTAAGGTAGCTCTCTGAAGTCCCGGAATGCACCTTTTCAGGCCACGCGTCAAATAGTGGAGGATCAGTTTTCGACCTCAAAAACGTTGCTGGTAAAAGTAAAAGGACTGTTTCAATCATCGTGACGTGACGTCTCTCTGATGTGCCAAACTTTTTTTTTAACTTATTGTGAATGTTTCTTTGCTGCTGATTTCTTCCAGATTTGCCGCTATATTTAAAACCGCTGAATTTAAAACGTTAGTTTTCATTAGGTACACCTCGTCCTTCTGCATTAGGTTGAAAAAAAAACCAAAATTTGTTAAAATTTTATTTCTGAATGATCGATTAATCAAAAAATTTTAGTGCATTGACCAACCACAGCTACATATAGGGAAGTTATTGGACCCTTTATAAAGGATAAATGAATGCATGCTGGGTATGCTAGTGGTAAGAGGAACGTATCATGCTGCTTGAACGTTGTTAGATGAATGCCTTCAGTACAGACAACTTAGTTTGATAAAGGATTTTTAACGTATGTGAAAGTGAGCAGTTTAATTTTTTTTGTCTTGTGGTGTTTAGAGCGGGTGTTAAAGGTGACCCAGGCAGAAGCCCAAAAAATATGACCGGGGATTATGAACGCGGATGAGAGAGTGCATGGCTCTTGGTTGCGTCTGACAAGCTTCGTTTTAAAAAGAGACATAATTGGTCTAATCTCATTTCGGTACCTAAAGGTTTTCTGAAACAACCAGCTTTTATAACCACATTTAAGAAGGTAATGCAATTTTTTTAAAGGGGGACATTTTAAAAACTACATTATTGTCGGTGGATTGAATCATTTGATACCACTTACAACAAACGAGAGGGTTTTCAGGGGAGACCATCTTGTTGTATAAGAATTGTCAAAGTTCTTGGTGATTGGTCCGAAATGACAGCCCCTTTCAATGCTCAAGAATAAAGGAGCTAATCTTTCAAATGTTGATACTATGCTACATTCAGTTATATGCCGGATCTTCTTCACAATGCTGTCTTATAAATAGACCGTTCAGTATCCTACTGCTGTGATTCTTTCATATAAATGAATGGTATTAAGCTGCATATTGGTTATGCTTCTTGCACACGAATGTCATGTAGTTTGTAAGAAAAATATTTCTTGGTCTATGGGTTGGAGTGTTTAGCTTAAAACTGTCATAAGTACTCTGAGGCACTAGGATTTTCTGCATGAGAATAAAATCAAAGTACTCTTATTGATCTTATAGCGTCTCTGAAAGATCGGGTTCAATATTCAATTCATAGAGGTATTCCAAATATCGTCCCTAAAATTGCAGTTTTAACAAGTGAGTATTGCGTAAAATCATTGTTGACACACTTTCTTACCCAGTTTGATTGATAAAAATGTATACTTGGTGATAGTAAATATAAAGTTCAAAAGCAAATAATTGCTTGACACACTCATAAAATCACTTAACTTTTTTTATTACTTTATAGCATAAGTATAAAACATCATACAAACTCAAATTTTACGTCTTTTTTATTTGGGTAAAAATGGAAGTTTTTGAGAATGTATCCAACGACTGTTTTTTAACTTATTAATCGTTATTTTGTTTTCTGTGCTAGGCTTAAGTTTCTCTGTTGTTGATAGGTCAGGATGTATTAGTTAAAAAACTATAACCATCAGGATTTGTTGGCTTTATAATGCTACGAAGCTTAACTTTCTCTTGAGTAACTGTGTTAGCAGTAAATGGTCCATTCTCATTGTGTTAAGTACACTAAGTAAGTGGATGTTTCTTCACAGAAAAACTCACACTATTTTAAATAATTATTGGCAAAAATAATTTTTTACTTTTTCATTACATTTAGCATAATAAAAACAAGTCCATTACTCCAACATAATTTAATTACTGAATAGTAGTACTATAGTTTAAATATAATCGATTGATAAATTATAACTCACTTGTTGTAAAGCACTATGTCGGGGCGCCAGATGTGATCTGAAGGCACATGAAGCATCTGGACTCCCCCGTATTCTTTGGGTTCCCAACGCAGCTTATAGTCGTACCACGACTGAAACAATACAAGATACATTGTGTTGGATTGAATCGTTGGTATTACTTAGACTCAAAACTGTTTATAGGTTATCCAATGATTACTATAATTTAATATCATCACCAACCGCTTTTGTTTAACAGTCCATTTTGTAGTCCTTTCACAGAGAACTTGGGTGCAGATGAAACATTCAATGGTGTCTAGCACTAGTGCTGGTGTCTAGGGTAAAAGTCCAACAACACCCCGTCACTCTCATGTACTACAACGCGCACGGTGGAGGAAGACCCTGTGCCCTGTGTGGTAGGAATTTCCGCACAGTGCTCTCCGCTTGGGCTCTAACAAATATAGTATTCCCGCACAACATACTAGAACTGAAAGCGCTGGGTTGATGACCTGTGGTCCGACCTTGCTAGCCAGGAAGCGTCTGGAAATTTTTAAGTAAACATTGAGGGCTTTACACTCAGTAGCTATTGGGTTCAATAAATAGGCCACATGTGGTAGGGAAAGGGGTCAATCGGCCAGGGCAGGGTGCCGAGAAGTGTTGGGTGAGTACTGGTTACTTCTATCTTAGGAATAGGCTCTTTAGCCGGGAGTTTTGAAAGCGGAAGTTCTATTTGAATGGAGATTTAGAAATAAAGAGGGAGTTGTGTGATTTGTGAATTTTAATAACGGGATTTCAATTGGTTTAGATATTTGATTGGTAATACAGTACGTTCGAGTAGACTCATTTTTGGGAATATTATATTCAGAGTGCTAGCTGCTTCCAGGACGTTTTCAATTAGCCATTCGTTGGTGGGTTTGCGCGTCAATAAGAATAGTTAATTACTTTGGAACAATAAAAGGTTCAGTATTTTGGGTTTAATCTGGTCATCTCATTTAACAGCCATCCAACTCATAACTAACTTAATATAAAGTTAAAGATCGGGGTTTTATTAAAGCTACGCTGCCATGTGTATATGCAATATCGCATGTAAAGAGCGAGAAGGTTTCTTGCATATCAAACATCTCGGTGACTGTTTAAAAATAAAAATATACTTTTTTACCTCCGTCTTTACTCCAACCATTATAGGTTTCAGAACTGTTTATAGTTACTATAATCATTCTTAGCAGCAAGCACTTTGGTTCAACAGCCCATTTTGCAGCTCTTGGACTTTTTTTGATGAAAATAGGCGTTTCCCTCTGTCTGTATGATATAATATTTAAAAAAAGTTAACACGTTGTTTGTATTTTCAAAAATAAACGCATGATAGTTTGATGTACCAAAAAGGTTAATTATTCATCTGTCAAAGACTTAAAAGATTTCGTACGCTTGTTTGGTTTGATAAATGCGATATTAAGGTATTATGTACAAAATAACAGAATTTTATGTAAAAAAAACCATGTTTCAAATATATGAAAAACCGTTTCGACATTTTAATGTGAACGAATAGAAAACTATCCTATCATTTATATTCTGTTCGAAACAAACTATTTTATTTCCCTCTTCACTCCGCAGCTGTCGTCTTTTGTTCATGAAGTGGCGAGCGATAGTCTTTTGTTACATGTTTTGTAGTAAAAGATCTTGAAGTCGTCTCATGTTTGTAACAATCATTTTATGATCCAGCTGAGTTATATACAGACATATTATTTTATTTTTATTCGAAAAAAATAATATGATTATATTTTATGATTGGTTTTCTCACGTCATTTCCATTTGTTGAGAAAAAAGTTATATGTTGAAGAATGTTACAAATAATTGTATTTTAACCATATAAACCCAACCCTTTGTTAGATATGTTAGATATTAATTAATAGCCCAATAACAAACATTGCTTGGAATCGAACTAGTAGTCTTTAGATTAGAATGTGAGCACTATAACCACGCAGATATCTAGAAGATTTAAATGAACTTTTATTCCAAAACACACAAAAAAGCTACACTCAAAAAGAAGCATGTTTGTACGATGAGCTACACGATAGCCTAAAGTGTTCAATCATTTAAATACATTTAAGGAAAGGTATTGAACAAGTTAACATTTAAGTCAAAAAACATTAGCTTGGGAAGAAGAATCACAAAAGATAACAACTGTAGATGGCAAATAAATACATCAGGGGCATGACGAGCTAAGCTGATTCATACAACAATTAAAAAGCTAACATGAGCGTTTACTTTGGATTTAATATAAACGAAGAGGCAAAGAGCACCAAAATGGCAAACAATAAGCTTTAAAAGAAATGTTCTTGTTGTATTGCAACAGTTTTATTGTTTCTACTTATAAAATAACAAAATCTGAAAGACACACTTATTTATTTTTTTTCCTTATTATCTCATGAAAGTTGTACCATATATTTATCTTTCCATTAAAACTAGGCTGCAACTGATTGTTCTAAAACAAAATTGCCCAATGATAAAAGATTACTTAGATAAAGGTGAATCTAAATATTAGCTCTGTGAAATAGTTTTATTGATTATTATGCATGGATTGTAAGAAAGAGGACGAATCAGTTATGCTTACTGCTCAAATTGTTTGCGCAGTGGAATTGATTTACGCTAGAGCCAACTGGACCGGTGTGGGACTCCCTTTAGGACTTCCTAAGTATCAAACCTACAACAATGTTCGGAGGAGTTCCATCGTAGCTGAGCAATCTTCCAAGGATTATGAACTCCAGTCAGGGGTGCCCAAATTCACTAACCTGTCAATTACAATTGTTACGGAAAGTAAATCAAAATACGTCTAAAACATTTAAATAAAATATTTTGTATTAGGAGCGCAAAGTACGTCATTGGCAATGACTGTTTGTGCTGGTAATACACACTAGAGTTTTCTACCACCATAATTAACTTGTCATAACTTTTTTAATGTATATAAAATGTCATTTAGGTTATGTTTGCGTTTTTTTTTTAGATTATGTTATTTGCTTACCGGTTGTAACGGATCCGCGGCTGTGGTTGGCGCAGAAACGTCAACAGTGAAATCAGATGATTAGCACGCAAATATTATCCATTCCCGCTCTAGAGCGGGAATGAGCTATTTTGCGTACTGTTTACAGATGTGGCAATGTTGTCATTTCTATGCAGTGGTAGGAAATAGATATATTTTTATTAGGAAAATATAAATTATGTTTGTTACTTAGCAAAAAAGAAAATAGTGTTCTTGCTTTGGAGACACCCGTAGGCCTACGAAATTTAAATTGCAGTTTTAATTATTAATTTTGCGCCAGTCAGTGTATGTAACATTAGATTTATTTGTGTGATAAACAGGTTAAGTTAAACCTTTATCAATCAAATTAACGTGTTTAGCAGGATATTTGGAAAACAGAATATAAACCAAAGTTTAGAGGTAAACAGTAATTTAATATGAGCTTTGTTGGATAAACTCATCTTCTGAGTTTATTCTGCTGAAACTTTTAAGTCAATTTTGCGAAGTAAATTTGACCCAAAAAAAATTTTATATGATTACGTGATAATAATATTTTCGAGAGAACTATTTGTATTAGTGTGATTTTAGTTATTTTGTAGACTATTAATAGTCACGCTTAACTCATGTGTGGCTTTTCATAACTTAAAAGGAATTCACTAAATAAATACTGTTTCACTTAACTTTTCGGTATATTTGATCAATAGTTGGGTAGCTAGAACGCTTATATTCATCACCTAAAAATAAAAGTTACGGTTTAATAATGAGAAAAGTCAGTAGCTTTTGGTGGTTTGAAACTGCGCACATCTGTCCTTGGTCACTGGACTTTTAATTGGCCCATACTCAAAACAGCTGATCCAGATAATCTCACTTCATTCCACATACTTAATTTTCGACTGATAAATACGAACACAATGATCGTCTATGTTTTGTCAAATGGGATCCGCCAATAAAAATGGGTTAACCTGTTTAAAAAGGTAAAATATTTTCTTAGGGTTTCTCTGTAATTGGGTTAAAAAAAAAATATTTTCCAAGTTATGACTGCATATTATTTTCATAAAAAATTTATTTTTTCTGTGTTACTTCCTTCTCATGATATTCTAAGTTAATACAGGGTGCCGGAAAAAATCCTATCTATTTCATGCAGCGCACTGTTCAACGACAGGTCGTCTGAGAGTGGTGGGGTTAGGCTCTTTGAAAAGTCCACACGACGCCATTTTCTGTGGTCAGAGAAAAGTGGTCCACTAAACATCGTGCGTTTGTTATCGAGTCGAATTAAAAAATAATGATTGAGTCATTGCAACGCAGTGGCAGTTCCGTGCATTCTATTAATTAATGTGACGTGGATTCCGTCAAGTAGCACAATCATGTGGCGGGTTACCAACTTTACAACAACGGCTTCTGCGTTAAAAAAAAAAGCTGACAAGCCGTAAAAAACAGATCGGACGCCAGAAAACTAACATTCGATAGAGTTCGTGCTACTTTGGAAAATAGTCCTCGTATGCCCACCCGAAAACAAGCATCTGCTTTGAACATGTCTGACCACTCGGTTACACTGATTTTGAGGTTCGATCTTAATTCTTATCCCTATATATTAATTTGTATTTATCTGTTTAATTTTGTTAATTATCCAATGGGAACCTAATTACGACGGAACCTCTCCATGTAGCCCTAATTTAAAGAATGCATGGAAATGCCGCTGAGTTGAAATAACTGAATCATTACTTTTTATTAAACGACTCGATAACAAACGTGAGTTACCCAGGTGACCTCTGTTCTATGACTACAGATAATGGAATCGTGTAGGCTTTCCAACCCCCACAACCCTCAGACGATCTGGCGCTGAACCGTGCGCTGCAGAAAATAGATAGGGTTTTTGCCGCACCCTATTTGAATTATATTGTGCAGTAGGCATAACCATTATTTAAAATTCAGTAGATAAGCTATTGTAACAATATATAAGGTGTTTAGCTATATTATGTTTTTGTATTATCCTTATTTCCATGACTACGGTACCCACTCAAATTCAAAAGCTGTTTTAAACAACACTAGAATTCCATTATTTTCAAGAAATAATTATATTTATTGATTTTGACAACTATTCAAGGTACACCATTAAAT